GCAATTAGTAAACGATTTTTCTCCGCAATCCGTAGAGACCCCACGAGAAATCGACAACAACATCAGCAGGACTAGCGACCCTCTAGTGATATCGAATGCCTCACCTACACACTCTCTACTGTGCGCGCTGATGAACACCCGTCAGCGCACACTACGGGTACGTCTGCTCGTTTCGTCTTAAAACCCGCAGACCTACCCAAAGATCTTGTTTTCTCAGGGGCACCTGGGCAAGATATTGTAGAACTTTTGGCGCAATACCGTGCACGTGTGAAACTGAACTCAGTCGACAACTGCCCTGACCATGTAGTCGACCAACGTGCTGTGCGATACCTCCCGCTTCTTCTGCGAGGGGCTGCGTACGATACCCTGTTGCAGTTGACCCAGGGAACGCTCGAGTGGCGTAACGCAGAACAGTTAGCTGAGCTTCGTGCAAAGGGTGCAAGTACTCGGCCGGTGGCTCCTTCCTCCTGGGCCGAATACTGTCACGCCCTTTACTTTCAGTTCTCCGCTCCCAACCGCATATCCATTTTGGCCCGACAATTTGCCACTTTGGAACAGGCAGTAGATCAGTCCGTGGATACCTATGCATTGAGAGTCACACAAGCACGCGCGCGCCTTATTGCGGAAGCTACTCGATCCGCCCCGCCGAATATCAGCCCAAACGAACACGCATGGGATGTATTTACCGCTGCAACGTTTGAGAACGGCTTAATCCCAAAAATCAGAGTGGAGACTGTTCGAGAAGACGCAACTATGAGTTTCCAAGAAGCTCGTTACCGTGCAAAGAAGCACGAGGCAAACAATCTAAAAGGCATTTCTCCCACAACCCTCGATATTGCACACGCTTCGGCTGTCTCACATGACCGGCCACAGCTGCGGTCCACGGTGGAGGCTCACACCTCCGAACTCCGGGAGTTGGCTGCTGAGGTCAAGCACCTCAAGTCGCGTGATGCCGCCACAAGCAGCCACCCCCGGGGACCGTCGCGGCGCGCTAGCAGTAAGACAACGCAACCAAAGCGCACCTCGGGGTCCACGCAGACGGACAAACCGAGAACTAAGCAAAAAAGGCACTGCGACTACCCCGGGTGTCCCAACCCCGACACACACGACACTGACTACTGTCACCTTCGCCAAAAGGAGAGGAAAGGTGGATGGGAGCGCCGACCTTTGACGGGATGATGGGGCCCTTCAAGGGACCCCTCGCCCGAAGGGAGCAGGACCACCGATGCAACAGTAGTTGAGAGGAGTGAGGTAGCGCGAGATGCCGTACTTTGCTCAACTAATGTTGCCATGAAGGGTGGAAAAACGAGGGATTGCATTTTGCATCGGGCACGAGAAGTTGATAGAACTTCAGGCCGAGTTTTTGATAGTAATAATTCTGTTACACGTAAGGAGGTTGTGGAATCGGTTGGTTCTCCTCTGGTAGCAGAAACACCTAGCAAGGCACCAAGCAAGGGACTATTTTTCAGTAGTGCAGGGAAACGTCGAAGAGGGAAAAAGACTAGTATCAGACCCTTAGCAGTAGCCCCGCAAGTACGACATGTTCCGCCTGGAGAGCCTTTGAATAAAGAAATTAAACCCTATGGGTTTTCGCGTGCGTTGCGTCGTGGTTCACGATTTGCAGCTTTTCACGCATCTGCGTTGAGTAAATATCCGAAATTTCCAACTGCATTGGATTCCACATCGAAACGGGTACATATTCCCGCTCGAGTGAACAACCACCCTGTGTCTGAAATCACAATCGACACAGCCGCTGATGTACCTTGTGTTTCAGCGAAATTTTTGCAGGAGCACCCCACACTAAAAAATAAAACGCTTTGTCCAGTTCCACCTGGAGCGATACAATTAAAAAGTGCTGACGGGTCACCTCTTGAAATTTTGGGATACCTACGGTTCAATCTCACACTAGGCGATATCACGTTGCCAGTAGAAGCATTGGTTTTACCGAACCTGGGTCCTGATAACATGTTGCTAGATAACAGCATCATGAATGCCTTTGGCGCCATTTTAGACTGGTGTGGTGAAGAACTATCTTTCAAGAATCCTGTGCTGAAAATACCCGAAACCCACCGTCGAACACGGGATCTAACACATCCAGATGACAGTGCATCAGCACAAGTTTCCGTTGTGGCACTTGACCCGTCCGAAGGAGCCGTGCCAGTATATCTTTGTAGGAAGTACTGCGTTCCTCCGAAACATGAAATGGCCGTTGATGTCGTGACTAGCCACGCCCCAAAGGAGACTACTCCTGCAGTAGTTGAGCCACGAATTATCACTGCCGACGATATTGAATCATCTGATGATACCCCTCGAGCATTCCGTCACATCGTTGTCGCGCGAACAGTCTGTAACTGGTCTGCAATTGATAAGACAGCGATGGTCCAGATAGCTAACCCGTCTGATAGACATGTTCACCTGGATCGGGATACTATCTTAGGGTATATTTCTCCAGTTCAGACGGTGTCTGAAAAAACGATTAGCGCCGTCAACGATGATCATCAGACTTTTAGGAAAAAGATTGATGAATTGAACAAGGCGATGAAGAAAGCGTTTTCGGATACCACATTCTCGCCCCAACAATGCTCTCAAGTTCTCGATTTATGTGCCCGTTACAGGAATGTGTTTTCCCTATC